GTGACATGACTAATTTGTTAGTGACGAGCGTGAGTTTCCTCTCGACTTCGTCATAGTATGCCATAAGGTCGGAATCTCCTTGTCGAACCATTTCTAAATTTTGCCGTAGCACTCTTAGGGACGTTTTGTCCGCATATGTGCAATCTAGTCTGGCTAGAATTGCATCGAAATTTAGCACTGTGTTGTGTGTTGTTTTTAATGATGACAACGGCCTCGTAGTGTGCCTCGCTGCCATCGTATCTTTTGAACACTTCATAAGCATTGAACGTCGGCAGGGATTTTACTATGTCCAACTTGACATCGCATCTTATTGCAGGGTCCGGTACTACTCTTTGGTAGACCTCCACCTGCGGCGCTTGCACTGACAGCGCACTAGCCTGTGCTCTAACCGCTCTTAATTCTGTGGCAAAATCGTTTCTTAAGCGTGCTTCCTGCTCGACAAGAGCGGCGCTGACCGCATTTGCGACAAGCGCTTGGACCATTTCTGCGTTCATTTCGTTTCATCTATGTCCCTAACTTCGGGGCGAAATCCTACCTCTTCGCTATCGTCGCTATCGTCACTACGAATTTCCTTCCTTACTTCCCTATACTCCCAACTCATTGGCAGTTAAAGGGCGCTGGATAGATACGAGGTATTTGATTATTGGGGCTCAAGACAAAAGGTTTCGGCGGGCCACTTGGTGATATAAAAGGCGAAGAGCAAAAAAAATAAAACAAATGGACAGTCACCTAAAACACAAAAATGTTGGATTAATTTGTCTCCAAAACAAAATTAAAATACAGAACGGTGACAACAAGCATAGGTCAATTCGACTGGGTGTATTATTAGCACAGATACACTGGATAACATTAGTTAAAAATTAAATACAAGCACAGTGGAAAAAAATTGTAGCAAAATACAAGGAGAAAAACGACTGGCAACCTCTGCATGCGTACAGAGACCAACCTTAACAAAGAAATAAAATATTCCTTTGCATAATTATTTCGTGCAAATGTTGACTGCCTTAGCACCAATGTGCGTTATATGAGATATATGTTTTTTTATTGTTATTTTTTATTTATGCCCACGCACTTAGAAAAATCTGAATCAGAAATCGAAAATCGAGTCACTATTTATTTACTGTAAAAAATTCCTAATGCTGGGCATAGGGAATTGTATGCACTGGTATTTGTGTTTGCGTAGACCTTGGCTATTGTCGGCGCTCAGCTACTTACATATTGTACAACTTCAGGGGTGAAATTCGAATATTAGTAATAATATTACTCCGTTGGGCGACAGTTATTTAATATCCGTGCCGGCTGGCGGTGCCCTCGTGGCAGGGGTAGAGCCGGTTGGTTAGGTGTTGGTGACCACCAAGGATGGCAGCCACTGAAGAGTCGGGTAGTCGCTTCGACTTCCTTCCTTCGTCCGAGTTACGTAACTATTGGTGCCGGCTGGCGGTGCCTCGTGGCAGGGGTAGAGCCGGTTGGTTAGGTGTTGGTGGCGCTCCAGGATGGCAGCCACCGAAGAGTCGGGTAGTCGCTTCGACCTCCTTCCTTGCCCGAAGTTTACGGTGGGAGATACTTATCCCCGTTGTTATGGCCCTTAAGGCACAATAACCAAATTCAACAAATAGAATAAATATAACGGCTGAGGCCGGAGTTTTATGATCGAGCCAGTGCTCTCTATTTCAAATCCAAATTAAAACTAAAACTAAGAACTAACAAAAGCTCATGCATAGCCGGCTGCCCGCGCAGACGCTGACCTTCACATCTTGCAGAAGTCAAACGATCGCTGTCAGCCAACGAAACGGAGCCACGGCTCGGAACGGTACAATGCGCTGGCTCAGCTTAGGGCCCACAAGGTGGACCCAATTTAGGGTGGACCATGCATGAGAGGAAAGTGTAATAATAATAACAATATAATATTAACAAGGGGAATAAGAATTGGCCTGCTCAGCCTAAGCTGGGAGTTGGTTGTTAACTTGCATACGACAGTACGAATTTTGACTGAAAAATGCAGGAAGCATTTTCCAGAGGGTAATTGACGACGTTCTGCTAGACAAGATCGAAAGAACTTGTTATGTCTATGTGGACGACGTGATAATTTTCTCCAAAGCCACAAAACCACGTAAGGCACATTGACACAGTTCAAAACACCAGAAAAGACCCAATTCTTCGGGGAGAGCGCTGAGTTTTAAAAAAGAATTGGGAAATTTGGGAAAATACCTATGTGGCATAAAGGAGATCCGAAATTTAACGGACCATCAACCGCTCACTTTCGCCATGTCTGAGCGGAGCCTACAAGGCTGCCCAGGAAAATGTGAAACAAGTTCTTCGGGATTACTATTTTCCCAAAATAGCTAAACTTGCTGATGAGGTAGTCGTGAACTGTTTTATGGTTTTACTGGTGTGTCAGTGTACCAGGAGTTCAAATTTGATATTCTGCTTCTGTTAAAATCAACTAATTAAACGTCACTTAACACTTTCCCTCATTTTGGAGTTAAGTTCGTCGTATCTTCTCAGAAAGAATCTTCAAGCTGTTCTCTGCAACGGCTTGAAGCGGATGTCCGCTAATTTTCTGTAGAGATTTGTTGTATGCCAAATTTCCGTTCTGCAATTTTTTCCCTGGATGAAAATGAGTTTGGTATTGCGGTAAAACTTCGGATTTTGATCTGGTCACACTTATGCAGAGTTGTCAACTTACGAATATAAGATGTTTGACGATCCATCTGAAGAGTGTCCTCAATCAAATTGCTTCTTTGGCTCCCTCGATAATAGTTGCGATGGTCTCTGTTTTGGTAGTTTAGGTCGTAACAACTGCTTGTCGTTGAAGATCGGTTAAAATCCAAGTATAATTTTCTTTTAAAGAGACGATTAGCTTAATCCTCGTCTTTTTAAACGTCATATGATTTTCAGGCAGCTGATTCACGACATCTTTCACTAACATGTAATAATCCGGAAGATGCTGGGACTTTTTTAGGGTTGAAAAATCTCTCAGTACGCTCTTCTTCAGGGTTCGACTCGAACTCTTCTTCCGTGTTGACTGATGGCTCATAACGATCATTTTCTTTGGTCTTGACCTCTGCCTCATCATCGACGTCATCTTCAATCGCATCTTGACTTTCCTGATGGATGTCTTTCAATGGTAAATCGACTTTACACATATATGCATTTAATCTACTTTCGAAATTAACATCTCTAACGGACTCCTTCCTTGGATAATTTTCCTGTTCTATTAAGAATGTAGCCACCTGTCGGCACCAGCCCTGTCCACTTTGCATATGGAAAATCATCTTTAACTAGAATGTTTTTGACTTCAAAGCAGTCAAATTTCCCTTCTTTGTTTCTGAGAAAGACATAATCGGAATGATGTGCCCAAGTGTTTTAGAATTTTCCAAAAATTGGTACACATCTGACTTCTGTAAAATTATAAAGCCGTACCGAAACTTTGTAAAAGGGTATCTTAAAACAACTATAAATCTCAAATGAAACTTTTGGAAGTCAACAAACTGGTCTGTACAGCTGGTCATGTTTGGTCATGTCAAGTTGCCGATTAATTCGTTACAACTAAAATTAAATTTGTATATACAGATTTACTTTGGCGGTCGTTGTCTTACGGAAAAAATTACCTTTTTTTTTCCTGTATGTCTGTATGTCTGTATGTCTGAATGTCTGTATGTCTGTATGCCTGTATGTTTATATGTCTGTATGTCTATACATATATCTATATATCTGAATGGCTGTATGTCTGTATGTCTGTAATTCTGTATGTCTGAATGTCTGAATGTCTGAATGTCTGAAATGTCTGAATGTCTGAATGTCTGTATGTCTGTATGTCTGTATGTATGTATGTTTGTATGTCTGTCAGTATATCAGTCTGTTAGTCTGTCAGTCTGTCAGTCTGTCAGTCTGTGAGTCTTTCAGTCTGTCAGTCTGATCGATATCCATGAATTTTTTTGTACGTGTTCAAGGGGGCTCTGGTCGTGTTTTGAAATCACAAACGAGGAAAAGTGATTGAAAATTAGGAAAAATGAGTAAAGTTGGCAGCTCTAGGTCTTAACAGCTTCGGGAGTATGTGGCAACTCTCTAGAATTGAAGCTGGCAGACCTTTTTTAAACAAATAAATTTGAAAGTTTGTTTATTTTTTTTATGTGATTTTCGAAAGAATTTATGTAAATTGTGAAATTTATATCATTTATATAGTATATATGGGTTCGGGGGTGGGCAACGAACGTGTCCAAGGGAAATTTATATCATTTATATATATATAATATGGGCTCCTAGGGTCGGCAACGAAGGGGGAGAACAGACATGGGAACGTCTGTTCTCATTAGAGAGAGAGACAACATTCCTACTAGTCTTTTTTCCTTTCTCTAACACCACCATTATTTTAACACATAAAGGCTATCTTGTCCGCATTCAATGCACACCATAGGATTGCCAAGAGCCTAGCTCTTTTAGGCACAGCACTCAAGATGCTAGCAGAAGTGTCCGAATCATAAGTCCACACTTATACGTACTTCTTTTGGCAAGAAATAAAATGTTAATACCGTGATTCAAAATCTAAATGCCAATATCACTTGCTAAATCTATTACCAACACGACATACTGCAACTAATTCCCAGCGTAACAGCCAAATAAAACAATAATGTCCTAGAGTAGTATAATGTATTGTTCACAGCAATATGCAAAACGCAACTCTGCCATTTAAGTTATCTCAAACTTGTTTAAGCTTCGTTTCCTCATACCATGCGTCATCTGCACATTCTTGCACGGATCTGATGGACATATGTAGTTTTCTATTGTTGCGCAGTCGGCTTATAAGTTTTCAGTTTCATTTTTTTCAATTGGTCAAATATTGCTTCTCCAGTGGAAGACGAAACTTTTTCTATATTGGTTAGAAAGCCTAAGGGGCCAGTCTTATCCAACACATTCTTGATACCAAAGTTTTCATAATTTTTATTAATTAAACACTGATAAATGTATTATTAAGACTAATCAAAAAGTAAATTAATACATATTTCTTAATTTTCTTCTATTAATGTGCACTCTACGGGTTGGATCACAATTTCATTGTGAAAGTATTTCTATTTATTCCGATTTTGTTTACTAAAAAATAAAAGATATTTTATTAATAAAGATTTTAAGGTTTACTCATCACCAAAAACAATAATTCCGTTTTTAAAAATATATTATTTATTATTACTTTCTGGCCATGGCAATTCCCAATCCCAATATTCCGCCAAGAACTAAGGCTGCTCCTCCAGCGACTGCAATACCTTTTGCGACTTCCTTATCAATTTGCATCTTGATGTATTCCTGAAAGGAATTTTTATTTTAATCCTACTTTTTACTAATGATATAAATATGTATTTTTTAATTAACCTCAAGAGACCGCACTTGATCATTTGATTCGATGTCCAAAAATGCTTTGCAATACTTTAACCCAGAAGCATACTCCTTTACTCGTGCATTCCCAAACGCAAGATAATAGATATAGTCACGCCTTCCATCTGGATGAGTACGGGCCAACTCCTCTAGTATTATAATTCCCTAAGTTTTTAAAAACAATGATTACTATATACACCCTTCTAAAATTATTATTTAAATAACCTTTCTGATGTCGTTTGTATATGCACTACGGACTAGACAAAATGCGTATCTGTAGATATGAAGAAAAAAGTATTAAATTTAATTTGAATAGGCTTCATTGTAAAACACCATACTCAAATTTTGTCTCAGTGGTAACGTCCCCATCTAACTCAAGTTCTTGATGATATTTTTTTTCAAACCTCTACAATTACAAACACATTAACACCTTTCGTCCAATAATACTCAATATAAATGCCAATACCTCTAAATCTTCCTGAGATACCACCTCGTTTAAAAGTTCTTCCATCCCTTTACCTTTTATTTACAATATTATAACGAGTTAGTTAATGTGTACACCAATGTTTGTCATAGTAGCTGTGATTGAGATACGATAGAAGAAGCAATGTATTTTTATTAATTGATATTCTCGGTAGTTAAGGACCGTTGACAAGTGTGTCAACTTAAAGAGTTAATACCCTTTTCTCACTAATTTATTATGGACTTATGGCAACAAGGCTACTGAACAGCTTTAAAATATGTAACATCCGTGTTTTTTTTTTTAATGTATTACACGAACCCTAATACAATGTAAAATACCTGTAAGTGTTTTAAACAGTTTGAGTACCGAAATTAAGTTCATTTGGGCGCCATAAATCGGAACGCCGATTATTATTATTAAATTAGTATTATTAAGGAACGCAGTTGCTAAGAATCTTAAATTAAAGAAATTAAATTACGATTTGAATTAAAAAAAATAAAGTGTCTCGACTAAAGTGGGTCCTCACTTCTCAGGATCCCCACGACCTAGTTTGCGCTACTTGACGAAGGGGCAAGTAAAGGACTGCTTATCTAAATCCGCATCTCTGTCAAAAGTTACATACAGGTTTGACGACCTTAAAATACTAAGTATTGTTTAAAGTTGGTTTATGAATGTATATCTGCCGAAAACCGCCCTATGGCAGTTGGTTGCGAAGAAATCTGGGCTCTTGCCGCCTTTGAAAGAAAGCCGGGTGGTCGTCGTTGAACTTGCAAATAGCGTGGAGGGACGGCGCGTCGAAGCCCGGAAAGAGAAATGAGACCTGGGTGTCCCCACTCGGAACGGACTCCCCGGCGTACTGCGGAGGTGGCGGGATTGCGGGTCTGACGAGGGGCTATGCCGCTAGGAGAGTTGGCTCCTCGGCCACTTGACTTCCACGAACGGGTTCCGGCGAGGTTACGGCCAATGGAAACCACAGGAAACGTTTGTCCTCCACCAAGAAAATGTTGCCGGGGCCCTTTTGACGGGTCCCCGGGTATCCTAAGGAACCACACCGTGATTTAAAAAACTTTTCTCAGTGATTAATGCAATCACTTTGTGAAATTTGTTTCGCGAGCTCGGTTTCACTTTGATCATCCGAATCCGCAATATGACAGCTACTGATTAGTAGTTTGGCCTACATATCGTAGGCCTCGCCATTTTCTATTTTGCTCTTCAATGTGGGTCATTGGACGATCCAGACCCGATTAAGAGAATAACCGAAGCGAACCTGAAGCGTTCTGCCTGCCTAAGCTATCGAAAATTCCCAGCTACTTATAGCCGCTTCCAACCTGAAATGCAACACCACCCAAGGATTTTGAGAGACGCCACCGGATTTGTAGCCACTTGACGAAATCATTGGGAGGATTTGAATCCCTTCTTGGTGGAACCTAGACAGCTACGTAACTTGCAGTTCCGTATGGTGCCCAAAGCGGGGCCAACACTTGCCAGAAGTATGATGACATCCACATTCTTCGTTCTTGGTGTTTGTTCCTTTTCCCAGATAAATTCAGAGATTCAGTAAAGTGGTAAATTCAGAGATGGCGTCCTTGCAAATCTTTCAATTCGTAGGCATTGTTGCCGACGGCTTTCACAACTTGGTGAACTTGGCGTTGAAGGACTTGGCAAAGTCACTGAGGACAAAGTTGCGGCGGTATACCGCCAGACCTCGATTGGCCAAGAAGTTTCAAGCCCGTTGGTCATACCACTGGCAGCTGTCGTATGCTGTCTCCAAATTCCTTCGGACCTTTTCTTGGATCATCCGGAGTTCATCTCCCGTCTTAATCCCTGCCATTTCATGGTCACACAAGCTTTGCATTCCTCGCTACCCTATAGTTGGCGCCGTTCAGGACCATGTGATGTCCGAATACGGTGAAGAACGGTGCTTCTACTGTCGCCGAGTGGATCGCGTTTCGGAGCGCTACATCAATTTCCGGAAGGTACACGTCCCAGTCCCGATGATCACTATCTAAAAGCTTCGGATTTTTGCAATACGCTTCGATTGACTCGATCTGCTGCTCTGGGGTGAGTCTTTACCGGAGTCTTTAGGTGTGATATCCCAAAACCACGACCATTGTCCGAGTGTACTACGCCAAATTTGTTGAATACCTCGTGGATGAGGAACTCGACGACGTTCGAGGCGGTAGCTTCCTTTATGGCCTTTACGAATACGAATTTATAGAAATGGTCCACCACGATGTATAACCAGGCATAACCCTTCTTTGACCTGGGATATTTCCTAAATATACAGCTTCTGGAATGGCTGCTCCGCCTGGATTCTTTCTTTGTCTCCTTCGTTACCATGTAGACATCGCATCTTTGTACAAACTCGCGGACTTGGGAAACATGTCAGTCCAGTAGAATGTCCGTCGGAGGATTTCCAGAGTATTTCGCATTCCCCCATGAACTACTATTGGGTCCGTATGCGCATGCTCGATTATGCTCTGGGTCAGACTCTGTGGGATCCACGGTTTCCAATCGGAACCGTCTACCTCATCGTCCAGATTCACTGAAGAAACTCTCTTGCAGTTGAGGCCATCCGCGAATGCACGAGCTCTTCCACCTTTTCCCAACAGGCTGACACTTGCTCCCGTGTCAAACAATCCTGTCAGCGGTTGGGTCAGGATCCGGACTTCCGCGAATGGTCGAAGGTGTCCCGTTACACTGCGCATCTCTCTTCGCTCGTCTCTTCTGGAATTGACTCCTGGCTTTCTTTACTTTCCGAGACACCAGTCTCATCCCGTTCAACTGATCAGATTCCTGGCCTCCATGCATTTATGCATCCTCATCGTAGGGTAAGAACATTAATATTGACTTAAAGCTTTCCTCATTAATTAAACATTTCTCTGTACTTAGGAAGTTGTCTTCCTCACGGGACTCTTCTCTAAGCACATCTTTTCTCCTTCAGATCGCCTAGCCGACCGTTCCGACCTTCCGGTTGCCATGCTCCTGTCCCACGTTGGAAGTCTTGGAAGTCGACCGTTCAGCGGTCCTCGATATGCCGACCCTGAGAACCGGCGGCGTTTCGCCAAAGAACTGCTGTTGTCGAAGCCAGGAGATTCCCACGTCCTCCTAGGCGGGTTCGGTGGAATAGTTAGCGGTGGTGGCCTTTAATTGCCGGTAGTTGCCGACCGATGGTCCTTGGGAGCCGCTCCTCGAAGATCCTGTCCTGGAAACTGCGATGCTGGCGTCTCCGTCAGCTGCTGACCCTGATCCGGAAAATCTCCCTTTGGAGGCTGGGGATCTCGTCGCGCACAGCCTGGCTGATGCCGGATTCCTGGGCCCTGCTGTGGGTCTCCGCTGCCTGGGCCAAGGCGACGTTAACGACCGACTGGGCAGCCGAATCCACCTCTGGAGCGCGGAACCTGTCATCGCGGTCTGCATCTGCAGTAGTTGGTCTGCTGCCGAGCCAATCGCTCTTAAGTCTGTCTTAGGGGAGGTTCCTGGTTCATTCTGAACTCTTGTTCCGGCGTCTCTCGCAGATGGCCTTGCGGAGTCCTAGGCAACACCATCGATATTCGCGGTGGTCCACCGCCGGTAGGGCCCTTGTCCACCAAGGAGCATAGTACCTCGTCTCCCCACGTCAAAATGCTATGATCGAAACACTAATAAATAAATAACGAAGAATAATATATATCACCAGCACGAGAAGCAATAAATACTAATATAAGTAAATATGTATTGAAATAAATAGTAATATATATAAAAAATGTGTATAATAACCGAATATATAATAAATTATTAATAAATATCTCAATAAATAAATAAAAATATCACCTTAATTCTCGTATCTTTTGCCCTTACTAATTCCTTCTCTTCTTATTTTCTTTTCAGGTTTAAATCAGGGGAGCTCTTGCGTATAAATTTCTTTTTCCCGGCATATGTCCTGCCACACCGCTTTTCAACTGGACTAGCTATCAAACGTTTTATGTTGATAGCCGCCAGTTAAGAACATCGGCTGCTCGTGCAGCGCGTGTCCATCACGGGTCATGATGAAACATTTAAGTTTAAAACCGAGATGAGATCAACTTCTATTATTACAACAAAAATCTGTACAAAACAAATTAAATTAAATAAATAACAAACTAAAACCTACCTAATTTATCACAGTTTTTTAATCACAGATTTATTTATAGTTTTCGCTATCTGAGGATGCAGATCTTCTCCCTTCTGGGCCAAGATGCCATCCTCAGGTAACAGCTGCATCTATTGTTCAGGTGAGGGGCCAATGTGCCGCCGAAGAAGAGCGCGTGAAGAGCGCATCCGCGCTGAAGAGCGTATCCACGCTAAAGAGCGCATCCGCGCTCGCCCCTCTCTGCACAATCTTGCACTCTCGCTCTCTCGGGTCCAACTGCAGCGGTCGGCCGTCGGCGATCGTCTTTTTCTTATGCTAAGTTAAGTTAAGTCAGTTTTCTTGTATGATGTGAATAAAGCAGACGGGCGATTCCACGACTCCCCCGACTTCCACCACCATCAAGAGGCATCTTTTTCCGGCAACACCGCCCCACTACAACATTTTGGTCCTTCGAACCGGATTTTCTGGATATTCTGGATACTTTGGATTCTGGATACCTTTTCTACCAGCAGTTCCCGGTAGTGTTCCGCCAAAAGATAAGTACGACTTTTTCTTCCGTCTCCGTCTCTCTGCCGGTCTTCAGCAGTGGTACGAACATTAAATTTCGTTTACACTGCTGCAAGATTTTGTTTTCCTTCCGTGTCAACTCCAAGTCCGAGTTTTCCGACACAACGGCAGTGTGAGATTTTCTACTCTTCTTCGTCTTCATATTCTGCCAATTTTTCCATCCGACTCCGTTTTGTGTGCCGCCATATTCCTCGCCGTTTTCGGCCTCCCCGTTATTTGCTATTCCGCTATTCGCTTGCCAACGGTCGAGGCATATGTGCATACATATAATATACACACATACAACCATACATTTTCTTTTTTTTGGTGCAATTAAGCCGCGTAAAATTGTGTGGTGACAAAAATAAGGCATAATTAATATTGGCCAGCCGGTGTGATTTATTTCCAAAAATTCCTAAATTTATTTAACAGTCCACCGGTGGCGTAATATTTTTTATCCCAATCAGTGTCTTTTTTTTTACACCACACAGCT